CCCATTAAAAATCCTTGACAATCACTTAATTGTTTATCGTTGATGTGACCTGATCACGAACGGCTGGCTGCAGAACGGTTCCGGTAGATGTAGTCACCAGCACCTTCCGTTGCTGGAGCTCATTTTTCGCCAATAGTTGTCCAGGCTGCACAGTTTTGTTGGCAAACGCTTGAAGTCGCTGATGAATGATTATAGTAAAGTGAGTCTGATTAGAAGGCCACCATTTTGTGTTGTTTTTCAGTTTTGCGTATTCGTTATGAGCGGATGAGCGAGGATTTTCGCATGATTATGGATGCAGTGAACAGAATGCAAAATCATTCAACCTGCAGAGCTATGGTGCTTCTTGTGGATGAGCGGAATAAATGGAGTGTGGCTGGCGATAAAACTTTGATTGCGGCCCTCGTGAATTCAAACATTCCTCAGTGTGTGCCAGAGGCTGCGAGCTTTGATTTTGATAATGTAATTTTCCTTTTTTTTTGATTAATACATCACCGATGAGCTACAAAAACACGTGCTGCGGGGAGGTTGTGGGTGTATGTCCGCATCCACACAATGAGTTCAGCTTTCAGATCTGCGGGAGTTTTGAAGCTAAAGTTTTGGCTGCCTTAGTTCACCACTGTGGATGAGTCGCTAGATAAAAATGCTCATGTCTTTTCGTGTAAGGACATATCGGAGATATATCGTGAACTGGCCAAGCTAGGAAGCTGAAAATTAGCGAAAATACTCCATACAGTTTTAAAGTACGCGTACAGTTAACGCATGCATTAGTGAAAGTTCCAATTGCTGGCAATCTTCAGCTCGAAAACCAAACCGAGATGTAATTCAGGCAGATGTTTGCGCGAAGTGCAAGCCTAAAATTCATGCATTTGCGCTTCTTGCGTGCAGAGGCGTCAGACTTTTTTCTTTTGAAATTTGCGAAAGGGATTTTTAGCTTCCCATATTACCCAGAAATTTTTCTTTTTCAGCAGGCGATAACAGTGCCATTGCTTCAGCTCTTTGAAAACAGCACTGTCGATAATATGAGCGAAGAACGCGCGTTAGGTAAACATTTTACGCAAATAATTCATATTCTCGTACTGTCTGCAGTATACTACCGGGTATAAGCTTAGGAAATAAAAATATTTTAATGTTGAAAGAAGAAAGCTAGAGTGGTGTTAAGAAATTAATAAAACTTGAGATGTATTGCAAAATATTTTATAATGGTAAGAAATGTTTCGGTCCACTAAGTCGTATACATTTCTTAACATTACCACAATTGTACCTCGTCAGTACGACGATTGTGGTAATTAGTATGAATTTGAGTTTAATTTAAATAGTTGTGTTGTTGAAATTAATATGAGTAAAGATAAAAGTTAGGTGTGCAGGTATGAAGTAAAGTTGATGTAAAACCTTACCGTAGAAGGGGTTGTTGGTTCCATATCCAATCCAGAAAATTTTTGGAGAGATACCTATAAGGTTATTAATATTATTAATATGAGATTTAAATATTTGTGCATGAATAGTTTTAATAACCGATTTTTTATTATCTACAGCAGAGCTGAACTGTAGCTTTACAATATTAAGGATTGAAAATCTGAAAATAATTATAATGAATTTATTGTTATAATAAACATTCAAGGACAAAAATAAGGTAAAAAAATAAAGGGTGGAAGAGGTGTAAGTTTAATGTTTGTTATAATATATTATAATAAATTCTGTAATGATGTTTATTATAATATTTATATCTTTAATGTCTATTATGATATATCGTAATAAATTCTATAATATTATAATAATAAATTCATTGTAATTGTTTTCAGATTTTCAATCATTAATATTGTAATGCTACAGTTCATCTCTGCTATAAATAATAAAAAAAAAAATTGGCCAACGCACGGGCTGCCCGTGCGAAGATGCGTTTTTTGCA